AGTTTGAGACCAAGGTCAGCTTGGTCTACAGAGCAAGTTCAAGGCTACCCAGATAAACCCTGTCTCAAAAAAATAATAAATAAATTAATCTATTAATTAAAATTAAAAAAAGTAAGCTGGCATAGTGGTACATACCTGTAATCCCAGAATATGGGAGGCAGGGGCAAGATGATCAAATGTTCAAGAACATACTTCACTTTCTGGGCTACATGAAACTCTGCCTCAAAACTTAAAAGGGGGTAGGGGAGCTGGAGAGATGGCTCTTGCAGAGACCTGTGCAGGTTCCAGTCTCACCCTTTGTGACTCTTGGGACAGATGATCAGGACCCTGGGGGCTAATCCTCTTATGGCCCCAGTTGCTCAGTTCTAACAGGGAAGTCCAAAACGGCCAGGTGGCTACAGAGCCTGCTCATGGGAGGGAGGGAAGACAGGCCATCAGGACACTCACCTAGCCCCAGCAGCAGGAGCAGAAAGGAAGCCAGAACTACCCGTCGGTTTTTCTGGATCAAAGGATGTTGGGTCCAGCTGAGTGGCAGGAGAGACGGACAGAGGTAAAAGAGGGGAAGCAGGTGGGGAGCCAGGGCTGGCTGGCAGACAGAAGCAGCTGAACTCCAAGTGAGGGGCTCTCACCTGCAGCAGGCATTGTACGAACTCTGGGTGGTGTTGCTGATGGTGCTGAAGGACCACTGAGAGCTACGGATGGACATGCGCCCAGAATCCCTGAAGGGCAAAAGGATGGGGAGGGAGAGCTAAAGAAGACGATATAGTCAAGATAAAATGGGGGTGTGTGCAGGGGCTGAGGCGAAACCCTGCAGGATAGAGGGCCCCAAAAGGGGACAAGCTTGGGGGTGAAAGTGAATTATAGAGTGGGGTGTGTGTGAAGAGAAATGGAAGAGGGAAGGTGGGGGGTGAGTTAAACTGAGGATTCCTAGGAGACAAAAGCTTGGCAGTGGTTAAGCTGGAGGCACTGGGCACTAGGTTAAGGTGACCCAGCTGGCCAGGCGAGCCCATGAGGGACTCCTTATAGGACAGATGAGTACAGTGGTGTGGGGACTGGGCAGATTTTTGCAGACAGGAGTCAGAGACATGGGGCTTGGGATGAAGGGTGGGTCCCCACCTGGCCCTGACCTTGTGCTGACTCCCCCATCGAGCTCTGGAGAGGCCTGGGCTCCATCCTCATCATTTTCCAGGTTCTGTTCCAGAACACAAGGTTCAGAGAGGTTGCTGGGGTTGGGCCTTTTCACTCCCCTCTGGGGAGAGGAGAAAAGGTGCCAGCCAGACAACTTCTGCCTGGCATGTCTGGCAGGTGCTCTCCTGCCTCTCCCTGCCCTCCCAGCACAACCGGTTTGATGATTCAGAAACTGAAACCCAGATAGGAAGTAGGTGTCTGCTGGGGGCTTTGCACAGAAGTCAGCAGGAGTGGGTGGAGAGCTCCTGCTGACTCTCACCATGGATCCCAGGAGCAGGTGACCACCCAAATGGGGCTCTTGGGATTTTTCTGGGGTCCAACATAGAGGTTCTGGAATTGGTGTAGCAGAGCACAGGTCTCTAATTCCTATGTCTCAAAGAGCGCTAGGGTTGGGGGAGGCTATCTGGGACAATGATTTATGGTGTAGTTGGAGTCAAGAGATGGGCAAACACATCAAGTGCGGCGGTCCTCCACTGCCAGGATGAGTTTCAAAACAGGATGCAGATTTTACATAGGTCGTGTAGCCTGGGGCTCAAGGGATGCTGCAAGGAATGGCAAGGTCTGGTTTAGATACAAAGTGCTCCCCAAACCCAGAGGGGTGGTATTAGGGTGTCACTCTCCAGGATGGGTGGGCTCTCGACTGTTGCTGAGGTCTGAGTTCTTGGTCCGGGCTTGTGGCTCTCCAAAGCTGCATAGGGACCGAACTCGAGTTCAAAGGGCAAAGCCATAATTCTGGATGAGCAGACACGACTGGGGGAAAGTTTCCCGTTCCGCTGGGGTTTCTAGGCAGAGTCTCCGGAATTAGGGTTCTCCGGGGCCCGGCAAGGAGTCCCGCCCTATCCCGGACAAGAGGGTGAGATGGGCCGGGCCGTTCACCTGGTAGCGCAGCCGGGACTGCTTGTCTTCATCAGCCACCTCGAACCTGGCCCGGCGGTCAAAGTGCAGCGGCCCGAAGCGGGCGACCCCACTGGACTCGGGCCCAGGCCCCGCGTCCTCCAGGGTCAGCTCGAAGGCGTCATCGATACTGAACTGGGGTCGGGTGGCGCTCATGGCCCCCGCCCGCCTAGGCGCCCAGCGCCGCCGCCATCTGAGCTCGCCGCGGCCCCGCCCACCAAACAGGGGCCGCGGC